AGAGGAGAGGAGAGGAGAGGAGAGGGCTGGAGGGGAGGGGAGGGGGGTAGGGGAGGGGAGGGGAGGAGAGGAGAGGAGCGGAGGGGCGGGGGGAGGGGAGGGGAGGGGAGGGTGAGAGGAGGAGAGAGGGGAGGGGCGGGGGGGGAGGGGAGGGAGAGGAGAGGAGAGGGAGGGGAGGGGGCGGAGGGAGGGAGGGGAAGAGTAGAGGAGAGGGGAGTGGAGGGGAGGGAGGGGAGGGGAGGGGGAGGAGAGGGGAGGGGAGGGGAGAGGAGCGGAGAGGAGAGGAGAGAGGAGATGGAGAGGAGAGGAGAGGAGAGGAGAGGAGAGGAGAGGAGAGGAGAGGAGAGGATGAGGAGGAGGAGGAGAGGAGATGAGAGGAGAGGAGAGGGAGGAGGAGGGAGAGGAGAGGAGAGGAGATGGAGGAGAGGAGAGGAGAGGAGAGGAGAGAGAGGAGAGGAGAGGAGAGGAGAGGAGAGGAGAGGGAGAGGAGAGGGAGAGGAGAGGAGAGGGAGAGGAGAGGAGAGGAGAGGAGAGGAGAGGAGAGGAGAGAGAGGAGAGGAGAGGAGAGGAGAGGAGAGGAGAGGAGAGGAGAGAGGAGAGGAGATGGGAGGAGAGGAGAGGAGAGAAAAGAAAAGGTGTTTCTGCATAACTGAAGGTCTTTGGTTTTACTGTTTGAGGTACATGTTTGGGACCAAAAGTAAACTGCTTAATGCTTTAGAGGAGAGTTGTTTATAAATACATTTTTTACTATAATTTTATTAGCATATGGAGAGGATTTCATTGAGAAGGCAACAGGAACTGGCACCCACTCAGAACAGCCATTACTGGAACATTAACTCCATGAGATCCAGCGACCACTGTGTTTGTAGGTCCTGATTTCCATTCTCCAATAATGCATTTTCTTCTTAATTTTACTCCTTTCTATTTTGTCTGTTTTTGACAAGGTTTTCTGACTGCTTCACTTTCTGCTGTATTGACCAAATACTTTATTTTGCTTTTGATTGTTAAATTTCAGGCTTTTTCTTTGTCCAATAAAATAGAGTCCCTCTAATCAATGCATCCCATTCATTAGCTTCACAAAGGCATTGTGTAACATTTGTTTTAATTTAGTAAAAGGAAAACTATGGTTTGCAACCAGAGCATCGCTCAACTTATTCCCCTAATTCTCTAGGCTGATTTGCATTAAAACAACTTAATTTAGAAAATATCAGGAAAGTTTGATAATTTCAACCACCCTCCTCAGTTTCCCACCTACATTCAGTCCCTCCTCCAGCAAACTCAGGACGGCCCTTAAAGAGCCAGGTCTTCTTGGCTTCATTTCTTTTTATCTGTACAAAGGCTATTTCACAAAAGCATCTCCTTTTCTTCTTTTAAACTTCCATTTTCTTTTTCAACTCCAGTTTTCCTTCTTCCCCACCCCCCATGTATTTTCAACAAACATTTAACCTGTCAGTTTTATAAAAGCAGTCAAGTTTTTACAAAGGAAACCTTGTAGTACATTTTTTTAAGTCTCCTAAACACTGATTCAAATAGAGATTATAGAAATTAAAATTACAGTATTTTATTTAAGAGTTACTCTGCCACAAAGTGTAGATCATTTGGGATCTTCAATTTGGGACCCAATTAAAAAGAACATTTTTCAGACAATTGGAACAAAACAGACATTGGGAAAATTGATATTAAGAAATTGTTCATTGTAGCCCAGCTGGTATGGCTCAGTGGTTGAGCATTGATCTATGAACCTGCAGGTCACTGTTCAATTCCAGGTCAGGGCACATGCCAGGGTTGTGGGCTCAATCCCCAGTGTGGGGTGTGCAGGAGATAGCCAATCAATGATTCTTATAATTGATATTTCTATTTCTTCCTGTCCCTTCCTCTGAAATCAATAAAAAATATATATATATAAATAAATTGTTCATTGTAAATGTTATCTGTGGTTATATTGTTTAAAATTTCTTATCTGTTATACATACATAATGAAGTATTTATGAGTGAAATGATGTGATGTCTGAGATCTGTTTTATATGACCAAATAAATAAATAAAAATAGTCTTGTTTGCTTTTTTGGGGGCTCTGGAGAAAGCCTATATGTTGAATTCGACAATAAGTCCTTTTTTTTTTTTTTTACTTAGTCTAATACTAGCTTAAGGTTCTGTTTGCTGTCATTGTTGCTTAAAGTATATTTTATTTAAAGAATACTACCTTGATTAATTCATTGTATACCAAAGTTCAACCACTCAAATATGGGCTTTCTCATTTCTAAAATAGCTAAAAAGCATTTTTTACTTATTTTTATTTAACGTACTTTTAAATCAACTCAGCTTCAAACTTAGGTGTATCTTAAACAAAAACTTTAAATTCTATCAGTGTGGAAAACTGGCGCTTTTCTAAATTCACATGAAAACAAATGTGTCTATAAAATAAAATTACTTAATGTATGGCCAAAACAATATCTTAAATACTATTAGCAGTAAGTATAACACATTCTGAGAAGCTCATTAATATGTGCTTTGAAACTGGGGATACACAATATCACGGGAATTTTAAAAAACTTACACTTTTCATCTGCAGAAATAAATATTCAAGCAATTAGTGATTATTTATAAAGTTGATTAACTATGCTGGATCTAATTAAATAAATCCATCAATATATCAATATAATATCATTTTTTACCCAGAAGATAGCAACAATATTAAAAATTGTTAATTTCTGGAGTTGAAAAGAATCTGGGAAAACAAACAGTTTTATACACTTCTGATGGAAATGCAAAATTACTGTAACATTTTTTGGGAGGTCAATTTAGTAGCCATATATTTTGAAACAGGGTTCTTATAACTTCTATTAAATTTAATTTTAAATCCTGTATCTAGTAATCACATCTCTCTCTCTCTCTCTCTCTCTCTCTCTCTCTCTCTCTCTATCTCTCTCCCCCTCTCTCTCTCCTCTCTCTCTCTCTCTCTCTCTTCTCTCTCTCTCTCTCTCTCTCTCTCTCTCTCTCTCTCTCTCTCTCTCTCTCTTTCTCCCCCTTCCTCCCTCCCTCTCTCTCTTCTAAAGACCTAGCCTTTTTCCAGGTAATCAGTAACCCCTGAGCCCCTGAGGTGGCAGAAGACAGTGGCTTAGATCTGACTAATGGTCACAGGGTCTGGCAAGCTAAAGATAACATATTGGCCTAAGTTATGTTTCAGTTCCTGAGCCCTAAGGTGGAAGGACCCCATGGCTGCTTTCCAATGAAACCAGACAGGAGGACACTGGAAAACACATCAGAGTTGCTCTCAAGACCTGAAGAAATGATTTGTTACCTTTACCTCACCTCTGACCAATCAGCTCCCAGCAGGACTGTGAAAACCTAACCTACTGTGTCTTGTGATTCTACCCTGTATAATCTGTAACCTACACACAACTGGGGAGTTAGGGGTTTTGAACATTAGCTTCCCGTTCTCCTGAGTGGTTCTATTCATAATAAAATAGCGAATCTTTCTCCAGTGCAATTCTCGGTATCTAGTGTTTGGCTCTACTTGAGCCTAGTGGATGAATTCTGTTCTGTAACAGTATAAAAATATTAATATATGTATATTTACAGAGATTCAGCATTTCTACTTTAAGACACAGTTATAAAGCAATTCTATAGTTATAATTCTACAGAAAGGCAAACACATTTTTAAAAGGAACATTTATTCCAATATTGTTTATAGTAGCAAACTCAGAAACAATGGAAATGTTTAAGGGAACAAATTAGAAAAATAAGGGTACATTTGACCAATGAACTATGCAGCCATTAAAAAAGAATGAACTGACATGGAAAACTGCCAACAAATATAGTTAATCATTAATTTTATTTTTAAAAGAAAGGCATAATATAACACTATGTTGTATACATTTTCAATGGATCTATATATGCTATATATTTCAAATTTTTTTTGAAAGGATACAAGAAATATTAAATAGGTACATCTGTTGGGAGAGAGACAGTGGGTGAAGACCATAGACATGGGTAAGAGCAACATTGTGTAATATTTACATTTCTGTAAATTAAAAAAAATAAAAATGTATGTGTGTATAATATTTTTCTGACTCCAGAGATTCTCTGGGTGCTGAGATCATTGGTGTTTTGTTTGTTTGTTTGTTTGTTTGTTTGTTTGTTTGCTTTGCTTTCCTCCTTATCCTTTTCTGCTTTAGGCAAATAGAGATTATTTCAATACAGATTTTAAATGACAAATTACCAGCTTTTTGAATGGAAACATAGGTTAATCGATATTGTAGTGTGCGTTATATTGTATTCCAATTAATTACTGCACATCAGAAGCCAACATTATTCACTTGAGAACAATTATTTCTGAGCTCAAAAGCTGCAGAACCTGCTCCAGGCATCACTTCTTTCTAATTGTCAATGTAGTCCCTTAAATTGAGACAGGAAGTGCTCTCTCCAGCATGAGAATGTCGACATAAAAAAATGAAACCGAAAAGGCAAAATAATTGACTTGAAAGATTAAAGTGTAAAGGAGAGAATATGGCAGGAGGATTAGTTTGGGAATCAGAATGATTTCGGTGATGGTGAAGATGGCTTGATAGGACTTTGCTACATCTATCATGCCTCAAAGAGGTGACTGTAGAAGGGAAACCAGAACAGTAACTGGGCAGAATAAAACTAGCACTGTATAAACGTGATAGTATTCCTAATGGTGGCACTGAGGACCTTAGAGCATGCATCTTCACCTCAATTTTCCTACCTTGGAAAGTGCCATCTTCTCACGGTTTTCACTTTAAAGTAATTTGTGAATATCAAAAACTCCTTCCACCCAGTTATACTCTGGGGACAGGGAGCTGCTTGTAATTTTTAGCACATTATTTGCCATCTCTTAGTTCTATTTCTTTGTGCATGATGTCTTTGCAAAAAATTCATTCTCCTAACTTGTTTTCTATCATCATTCTTTACTCAACTGAAAATTTCCTCCTCGGTGAAGCCTTCCCTGACTCTACCAGGAGATGTAGAGATTGATTTTCTTATGGGATTTCCCTTATACCCATGATATAGCAATTATTTTTGCACTCTAAACTTTTTTTAATGTCTGTGTGGCCCCTATACCTTATGCTGATTCAAACCACAGATATGGCCTTTCAATAAAACTGCCCAAATGGATGCATAAATAAGGGAAGGAATAATATAGTGAACAAATAAATCTCACACAGTGAATTTTCCTGGCCAGGGTATTACCACCATTCATTCACTCACTTATTCAAAAATATGTATTGAGGGCTTATTATGCATCAGGCATTGTGCAGATACTGGGAATAGAGCAATACACAAAGTAGAAAACGTGTAGCCCTCTTAAAGCTTGTAATCTTTTTTTTTTTTTAATCCTCACCTGAGGATATTTTTTCCATTGATTTCTAGAGAGAGTGGAAGGGAGGGAGTAGGGGGAGAGGGAGAGATAAAGAGACATCGATGTGCGAGTGACACATAGATTTGTTGCCTTCCACACCAGTTCCTACTGGGGCTGGAGAACCTGCAACTGAGTTATGTTGCCCTTGACTGGGAATCAAACCCAAGACCCTTCGGTCTGCAGGCTAACATTCTAACCACTGAGCAACTGGCCAAGGCAAGAGCTTGTAATCTTTACGGGAAATTGAAGTATGAAACAAGAAAACGTATTCATAAGTGAAGTGCATTGGGGACAATGAAAGGAGAGCCCTTTGCACTAAAAGAGTGACCACACCTTCTTGCTTTCCCATGGAAGTCCTGACTTAATCACTAAATGTCACCCTCTTTTACTCTCATATTGTTTCAATTATAAATTATATATTATCCCACTAATAAATCAGCTTTTTATTTTGTACTAGTGAATTGGAAAAGGAAAATAGTTGAGCATTTATCATGCTTCTTCAGGTTAACTAAGCAGATTTTGATGAATAGTCTAGGACTTACTTTTCAGAAAAATGTCCACTACAGATGTACATAAAATAGAATTAAAAAATGATTTTTCTATAAACTCTAACTAATGTATTCACTTAGAAAAGGATCAATTGTTAAAAGTATTGTTTTAAAACTATTATTATGGTAATTGGAGGATGGGATATCCTTATAGTTTCAAAAATAACACCACAATAATCACTAGAGGATTATTTTTGTCACCAAGGGGAAAACATATATAACTGAAGAATGGAGGGGTCAGATTGTCATCACCCTAACTCAGTGAATAACTTTAGCATAATTAAGGCCAATCAACCAGATATTAGGTTTCTGGATATTCTATCACATCACCTATGGTGTATCCTAAAAATTATTGAACATGATTCCATCAAGCCTTTAGATTAAAATTCTAATTTACTGGAAATACAGATATAAGGAAACAACTAAGTTACAGCACCAGACAAATCCAGAAGCTGGAATAAACTGTAGGAAAACTGGTTCAGCTTTCTTTTGTTGTTAATTCTCACTCAAGGGTATTTTTTTTTTTCATTGATTTTTAGAAAGGGTGGGAGGGAGGGAAAGAGGGGGAGAGAGAGACAGAGAAAGAGAGAGACAGAGAGAAACATCAATGTGAGACAGACACATTGATTGGTTGCCTCCCACCCTGACCCTGACTGGGGCCGGGATCAAACCTGCAACCCAAGTAGTGCCCTTGACGGAGGATCGAATCTGAGATCTTTCGGTGTCTGCCGACCACCCCTGAGCTATGCCAGCCATGGCAGTGTGTTTTTTGTTGTTTTTTAACAAGTTAGAGTCTGTGAGAAAATGTAGCTTGAGTAAAGGAGACTTAAGACGCATAACAACTAGAAGAAGCACAGAATCTGGTTTGGACAAGCCAAGTGTATTAATACATTTTAGGAAACTTGGGTAATTTAAATATGGATCAGTTATAACATAAGTTGAAAATGTATTACTAGGAAAGGCAGAGATAGCTAAAGGGGAAAAAGTTGATTACAAGCAACACATACAGAATGATCTCAAAAATAAAAATATATGTGTATGTGTATAAGTACATAATATCTGGAAGGATACACAGATGTTCAATAAGATTAAGGAGTAGCAATGTTCTAGGTACAGAGAATATGGTGCCAAGTCATTTAAATAAGATGCATTTTTGCCTTGCTAGTTTGGAGCAGTGGATAGAGCATTTACCCTTGGACTCAAGGATCCCAGGTAAGATTCTGGTCAAGGGCATATATCTCCATTGCAGGCCCAATCCAGGCCCTAGTTGGGGCTCATGTGGGAGGCAACCAATTGATGTCTCTCTCACATCAATGTTTCTCTCTCTGTGTCTCTTCCTCTCCCTTCCACTCGCTCTAAAAATGAATGGAAGAATATCCTCAGGTGAGGATTAACATTAAAAAATAAATAAGATATAATTTTGTTGTTGTGTTTTCCCACTGTATACAATGCACACATATAACTTTTATAATAACAAACATCTAATTTTTATTTAAAATGTGATACTAGAATCATACTATCTAATAAAAGAGAAACATGGTAATTGGCATAGGGCCGCTACCCTTCCCATTGGCTAATCAGAGAGATATGCAAATTAACTGCCAGCCAAGATGGTGGCCGGCAGCCAGGCAGCTTGAAACTAACATGAGGCTGGTTGCTTCAGTGATGGAGGACTCCAACGTTCCCCGCCTGCTGCTGCCGGCCTCTGAGCCTGCAGTTTAAGAAACATTGTAACAAATATAGAAGCTAAACAAAACCCCAGAAACCAGCTTTCAGCAAGCTGGGATCTCAGAGCTGGAGTTATACATTGTTTTGATTATAGAACCTAAACAAACCAGATACCTTCTTTCAGCAGCAGAGGCCTCAGAGCTGGAGCCAGAGCTAAAGCTGGCCCAGAATAAAAAAAAAAGAAAAAAAGGAGCAGTTGGGAGCTTCAGTCCAAGCCTCAAAAAGCCCTCAGCCCCTCACCCAGACTGGCCAGGCACCCCAGTGGGGACCCCCACCCTGATCCAGGACACCCTTCAGGGCAAACCAGCCAGCCCCACCCATGCACCAGGCCTCTATCCGATATAGTAAAAGGGTAATATGCCTCCCAGCACCGGGATCAGCGGAGCCGAGAGGCCTCCCAGCACCGGGAGCAGCATGACAGGGAGCAGCGCCCAAACCCCCTGATCGCCCTGTGGCTCTGGGTGTGACAGGGTGCGGCGCCCCAACTCCCCCCCACCCCATAGGCCCTGCTCTGTGTATGACGGGGTAGAGCCATAACCTCCCCATTGGCCCTGCCCTGAGTGTGACAGTGGCGGCGCCCCAACCCCCTGATCGGCCCTGCTCTGTGGGAGATAGAGGGTGGTGCCCCAACCCCCTGATTGGCCCTGCTCTGTGTGTGACAGGGGGCGGTGCCCCAACTCCCCTATCGGCCCTACTCTGTGAGTGACAGGGGGGAACTCCTCAACCCCCTGATGGACCCTGTTCTGTGAATGACAGGGGGGAGCTCTCCAACCCCCTGATGAGCCCTGCTCTGTGAGTGACAGGGGGGAGCTCCCCAACCCCATGATCGGCCCTGCTCTGTGCGTGACACGGGGCAGTGCCCCAACCCCCTGATTGGCCCTGCTCTGTGTGTGACAGGGGGTGGTGCCGCAACCTCCCCATGGACCCTGCCTTGAGTGTGACAGGGGGCGGTGCCCCAACCCCCCAATCGGCCCTACCCTGAACATGACTAAGGGTGGCATCACAACCTCCCGATCCGCCCTGCTCTGTGCATGACAGGAGGCGGCGCCCCAACTCCCCAATCGGCCCTGCTCTGAGCCCGACCAGGGGCTGCACCTAGGGATTGGGCCTGCCCTCTGCCACCCGGGAGCAGGACTAAGCTAGCAGGTCGTTATCTCCCGAGGGGTCCCAGACTGTGAGAGGGCACAGGCCAGGCTGAGGGAACCCCCCCCCCCTGAGTGCACAAATTTTTGTGCACCAGGCCTCTAGTCCTATATAATAAAAGCCTAATATGCTAAGCGTCCGGTCTTCCATTCAACCAATCAAAGCATAATATGCTAATGATATGCTAAGGCTGCTCAACCGCTTGCTATGATGTGCATGGACCACCAGGGGGCAGATGCTTCAACCAGTAGGTTAGCTTGCTACTGGGGTCCAGCTGATAGGACTGCATGAGACATACTGGACATACCCTGGAGCCCTCCCGCCTCCCTCCCCAGCCCCGATCATGCACTGGTGAGGTTCCTTGGTCTGGCCTGCACCCTCTTGCAATCCGGGCTGAGGGAGCTCCCATCCCAGTACAGAATTTTGTGCATTGGGCCTCGTACTTAATAAAGGGTTAGGTAAATAAAATTGTCCAATTTTATAACTTTTACTTTTTCTTACTTTATTTAACTGGATGTGACTAAATTACAGTACCCAGAATATAGTGAGTTATTTTAATATTTCAACCTAATAATCTTATGTATGTACACTTTGACGTATATTATTTTTTCTTTCTAAGTATGCTGAGCTATCACCATGTCAATTTTTACTTCTTCACTATTTGATATTTGTTTTGTTGTTCACTAGTTGCTATATAAAATATATCAAAATATATTATTTGCTGGGCTTTATTTGGGGATGCTTTATTAAGTTATAGGGAATTAGAAATAAACATTTCCAAGGTAATTAAAGAAAAAAAATACTAATATTCCTCCCATAATCTATAAAATGTTTTTATGAGAAAATAATTCAAAACTATCATAGATGCCCATTATTACCACAACCTTTTAAAATATTTTCTCATACAAATGAAATTTAAGGAAAAAAAATTGTATCTCTAAAATTTAATGAGCTAACTTAATTAATTTTTACCCTGCCTTTCCCCAGAAGGATTCAAGAGATATATTAGAATATATAAAAGATAACAGACAATGTTATCATAAAATTAAAGTAAAAATAAAAAAATTTAAAAATAAGGTTGAGAAAAAGAACAAGAATAAGTTTTTTTTTTAATATGTTTTATTGATTTTTTACAGAGAGGAAGGGAGAGGGATAGAGAGTTAGAAACATCGATGAGAGAGAAACATCGATCAGCTGCCTCCCGCACAACCCCCACTGGGGATGTGCCCGCAACCAAGGTACATGCCCCTGACCGGAATCGAACCCGGGACCCTTCAGTCCGCAGGCTGACGCTCCATCCACTGAGCCAAACCGGTCAGGACAAGAATAAGTTTTTAAGTGCATAAAATAATACCCATATAAGTAGGAAATGTGGTCTACAAAGTGAGTCAATTGCTCTGACTTATAAGATTAGATTAGAATTTCTCCTGAGAATACTGGTAAAGAAATACCTTTTTAAAACATGAACACCATTCTCAAAAACATTAAAATATGTAGTAGGCTTTCATCATCTCATTTTCACATTATTTTTAGTGTTTTTTTTTTTTTTTTAATTTGAAGTGTTTCTTTTGGAGTCTTCAGAAATTCACAACTAAATTTCCATTTCCAAAGAACTAATTTCCAGTTTAGTTGATAGTTCATTAAGGGACTGCAAGAGGATTGATGCTATTCATGTGAATTACAAGGAATTGGAGAGGCTGAGATTAAATTTTATAAACATTTTTAAAACTTTACCGTTTAAAAAATGCAAGATGATTACATTATGAATATGAATGAGTTCCATTAGCAATCATTCATTGATTTAAGTGTCTACAGAATTCTTTTTTTTTTTTTCAAAAAAGCACATATTTTATGAGGAAATTTGATTATTTAAGTAAAGAGTTGTGAGGCTCTATTTATTTCAGTCAACAAATATTTGTTAATACCATATGTTGGATATTTTGCGACGGGTTAAGGATCTAGTTGTGAGAGGACACCTGAGTTAGTGAATGCTTACATGGTGCATTCATAAAATATATTTGGATGTTCAATCAATAAATGAGTGAACTCCTTGTTTAACTATTACTGCTGTAGTCTAATAATTTGGCAATACATAGGCAAATGGGGAGTGGTGATAATAATACACAGATCTCTTATATTGTGAATGAGGAAGGAAGTCACCACTGACTCCGGCATTATTTTAGCATTTGCTTTTGACATTTGGAGTGTGAAGGGGAAACTTCTTACCTTTAACTTCTACCAGTAGCTGGCCCATAAAGCTACTTTTTTCTCTCTCTCTCTTCAGTTTTAACAGAATCAGAGCAATAGTAGGTGCTAACATTTAGATTGAATTTAAAAGAACCATTTTTTTTCAAAGTTATCAAATAACTAAGTTGAGAATATAAAAAGTGAACTGAAACCCAGGGAAAGAGCTAAGAGTTTGTTAATCCCTTCAAAGATGAGAATCTCCGGCATCTTTTGAAGGTTGCTTTCAATTCTTAAAGTGTCACTTTATTTTAATATCACCATGTCACAATCTCTAATAGCAATATAGAACTCACAAACATTTTTATATTCTAGCAAACTCAACTTGAAATATAGGGAAAGTGTGTGTGTGTGTGTGTGTGAGAGAGAGAGAGAGAGAGAGAGAGAGAGAGAGAGAGAGAGAGAGAGAGAGAGAGAGAGAGAAAGAGAAGAAAGAATGAGGAAGGATATGAGAATAATAGCAAAGAAGTGACAAACTTTTTTTTTTATTAAGCTGCACAATTAATTTAGCTGAACATGAAGTTTAAATAACTGTTCCTTGGTTTACCTGCTATTTTATTCACCTGAAATTATTGCTTAATTAAATAACATACAAACACAGAATGATATGCAGCACTCTATACCCTTGTGTCCACAGCATACATTTTGGCAGTCTCTGTCCGAGGGGCCGTGTATGACTTGGCCATGGAAACAGCTGCATTCGAATAGGCCTTCCTCATGGAATAAGGATAGTTCCTTTCAGGTCCCACATCTGTTTAGGAGAGGTAATTGTAGGGATATCAACATAATTATGGCTGAGTAAACTTTGGGAAATAAAATGATGTCAATTGATATATTCTTCTCCAAAAGTGACAAGAATATACTAGTGCATATTCTAAGAAAGAATCATCTAAGAAGACCTCCAGATGACAATATAAATTTTTATACTGTAAGTTAATTTTAGATTCAAAATTGAGCCAGGTATTTTATTTACTTTTTCTTGATAAGGAGAGGAGTTCTTTTTGTTTTTAAGTGGTATTTTTAGAAACCAAATTGCAGTTTTTAACAACAAATATTTGGTTTGCCTTTCAGTCTACTTCTCTATTTAACTCCAGATATAAACGTAATAGATTGGGTGAAGTGAGAGATATAAGATTATGATACATCAATTTAATCATTATACGTTTGGATATTAGACAGTTGTAGCTATGGGACTTCTTTTCAATAAATGTACCATTAACTGGGTAATAGGTTTGAATATTAGAAATGAGTTGTCCTTGAACAACTGAAATATTTAATGGCAGTGAGTAGAGATCAAGGGAATAACATTATTTTGGGTTGGTGAGATGTGTTTCCATTGGGTTGGGGAAAATGATACTGGAGGCAGGGAAGTACGCTAGTTTATTTTGTTCTTACCTTTGAAGATGTATAAGCAGCATGTGAGGATACCCCCAGCCAAAAAGCAACCCAGAGACCCAGCCATTCCAAGCCAACAGGACCAACCAAATTTGTATTGGATGCCAAGAAATATATTGTGCAAAACCAGAGTAGAACGTTCCACATAAACATCAACAGCATACCACACAGAACCAATAATTCCTGGGGCACCTAAAAGAAAGGGAAGATGTAAAAAAAAAATAAATGCAGGTCTTTTCTAAATTTAAATCCTGCTTCTCAAAACAGATGGCATCATGCAAGGAATAATAAATGATACTGTGGATTCATGCACAACTCAAATTGTGGTCACCTCTTTTATGAGTTCCTGTGGCTGCCTATCTTGTATTTCTTCCAAACTACATCTCAGAAATACAAAAATAAAAGAGTGCAGTGCTCATCTGTTTTTGTAAATCTAAAAGGGTCACTATGGTTTTCTTTAATTTTTCTCTTTCCAATGTTATTTTAGTATTGTAGAAAGAAAACAATTAAAACAAAAGAAAAATCTAAGGAAGAGAAAGAACACAAAACTTAAGACAAATAATGAAGAACATATGTTGTTTCTATATCAATATTTTAATTGAAAGTAGATGTCTTTAAGAACATTCTATCGCTCCCCTTCTTTACCACCCAGACCCACGGTTAAAGCCATGTCAGCTACATAACACACACTCATATGGAAATTAATGTTTTTAAAGTCATTCATTTTAGTGTGTTGGCATTAAAAACTAGTAACTGAAGTAAAAATTGTCTTCAATTTAAAACAAATTCTTACCTATCACCCCCACATATAAGAATAAACAGAGAAAATGTATTCCTTGTAAATAGAATTTATCCCTTATAAATAAAATGTATTCCTTTTAAATTAGTCTATCTCACAAAAGACTGGCTTGAAGTGATGCCACTAAGGTCCTCTTGTTTTAAAGGAATAAATTGCATGTCAGAGCCTAGATGCAAAAAACAATGGGGGGCCGGAGGATAAAAGGCTATGTGAAAAGGGTATTTCTGAAACTTGTAGTGTCCAAAATGTTTTTTCACGCCCCCCCCCCCCCCTAGGGAGATTGTGATATCTATTTAAATCACCATTTCATTGCATTCTTCTCCCAATTATTTAATACAGTTTTTAAGAAGAACCAGATTGTGAACATACAATCTTTAGATAATAGGGTATACATTATCATGCTTTTTCTATAATACTGTCACCAACGGGTTTAGAATGGAAATTCCTTTTGTTATAACTTAGAATCTAAGCAAATACTAATACTGAATGATGGTTCCAAGTCTTTGGCCATGTCTGGCAGTTTAAATGTAGTCCCTTTTTTCTTCAGTCATTCCTACTGGGATTTTCTCTATAGATGTGGTTTTCTTTAAATTTAGCTCATTCTGTTGTTTTATTTTTTTTAAAGTGGAGTATCTAGTGATATCTCAAAAATTGTATTCTGTAAGAAAATGTATAGCATTAAATTATGTTAAATTTGTTAAATAAAACACATTGTTACATACAAAAGCTTTATGGAATCACTAGGCTGGATATGGGAATACATGTCTTAGAAAGGAAAAATAACTAAATTCTTGTAACTTTTTAATACAATCTAAGGATCATCAGGGCCTTGACTCAATGTTTGCACGTGAAAAAATCAGGGAGAACCCGGTTTTGAGTTGGACATAGGTTAGGCTCTCTGCTATGAGCTTGCGCTGCATACACTGGATCTTCACAAGAGCAATTCAAAGTAGATATTATTGCCCAGGCTTCAGCCTGTTCTGCAGATCAGAAAATGAAGACAGGTTAAGTAACTTGTCTAATAAAACCATAATATGCTAATTAGACTGGACAGCCGAACGACCTTCCGGACAAAGCTGGGGCTGCGAGGGCACAATCTCTATCCATTCACTACCTAGAGTGCCTGGTCAGGTTCTCACTTACATTTGCTTTGCTAACTTTTTGCTTCTAGCATAAAAGAAGACAGTTTTCTCACTGGAGGATATTTCTGTTGGTTTCTTCAACAGGATGCTTCCTCCAAACTTGCATCAAGATCCAAAGATGACATCATGTTGTGGTAGAGAAAGACTAAGCTTTGAAGTTGACAACAGACCTGAGTAAAATATTAATTGTGCTGTTTCACTAATAAACATCATGTGAAGTGTTTCTTGACTTATGGTTTATTAGTCATGTTTGATTTATTAGTCTTCAGATCTCTATTTATTCATCTGCTTCTTAAGTAAAGAGAATAATATTATCTGCTTATTGTTTAGTTTATGATCAAATGGGTTGGCACATGAGAAAAGTCTAACATAGGTCTTGGCACAATTTAATTCATTGCTAAAAAGAATCAGTGGGGGTAGACATAAGGAGGTAAGGAGGCTTAATTTGGGGCTTAACTGAGAATTTAACTTCAAGAATAATCACATTAGAAATTATTTTTTAAGTTAAAGCATTATACAGCTTTTTTAGATGGTTGGAAAATAGTTTGAGGACTTTGATAAATCTTGATCTGCCATATTAACAAAAAAAGATTAATTATCTGATTCCAAAGCAAAAGATAGTAGGACTGGTGAATGTGCCTTTTATTCCTTCAATTTAGAAAAGGAAGTCACACACGATCCTAAAATGACCACTTCAGAATATCACCCTTCTCCTGCACCTCAAGAACCCTGAAACACCAATCAGAAAGAATATATGCACCCCTATAGTCGTAGCAATGTTACCTACAATAGCTAATATCTGAAAACAGTCCAAGTGCCTATCAGTGGATGAGTGGATAAAAAAGTTGTGGTGCATTTACACCATGGAATACTATACAGCTGGAAAAAAGAAGGATTTTTTACCCTTTACAACAGTATGGACAACCTGGAGAATATTATACTGAGTGAAATAAGCCATCAGAGAAAGACAAATATCATATGATCTCACTTATATGTGGAATTTAATGAATGTAATAAATTGGTGAACAAAACAGGCCCAGAGGAGGCATGGATGCATGGAATAAGCTGACATATCTCAGAGGTATGTATGTGTGTGTGTGTTGGCGGGGGGGTGGGGGGGGGGAGATACAGGAAGAGATTAACCAAAGAAATTGTATACGTATATGCATAACCATTGACACAGACAATAGTGTGGTGAAGGCCTTGGGTGGGACAGGGTTGGGGGACTAATGATAGGAAATTAGGGAACATCTGTAATACTGTCAATAATAACAAATTTTAAAAAAAGGGATCTTAGATGCGTATATCTACCCCTACCACTAGTCCAGACCAGTACCTGCTATTAATAATGTGGTCCCAGCCACAAAGCAGATGCGCACTTTGATGTATGGCTCATCAGGGAGGAATTTCACGCAGTGGAGACCCAGGAGCAGGGTAATAAATCCGAACCCAGCTAGAATATCTGCAGTAATCATCAACGCCCGAGTCAGCACCAGCTTCACTGCAAGATCGGGGCAGGTGGTTACAGCACACTCAGAGGAAGGTAACATACTAACTCACAGCAGTGCATAAAAAACAGGCAACCTGAAAGTGGTACACTTAAATTTACATGAGTTTAGAAATGAGTACCTTTACATTTTTCATAAAACAAAAATATTATGAGACTATTGACATTATTATTTGTTTAAGCACTGATTATTACTTAGTCTTGTTGCCTCCTATAAAAATGCCTGGTACATAGTGGGGACTAAATAAATGTTTCTCTTTTGCTTTTTGTTCTGGACTGAATCCTGTTCACAAGTATGATAACTGAATGCTGAATTCATAGTAGAGTATCTGTTATGCAGAAGTTACTCAATGAATATTCAATAATAAATGACCACTATGTTTGTTTGAACTTTTATTGTAAAAAATTAAAAATAATTTGTTAAAGTTTGATATAGGGGAGCAAAATTAATTTTTAAGACGTCTCTTGCGACTTTAAGCAGGTGGGAGAACCGTAATAGACTATTTCTGGAAGACAGATTATATTCTCTTTCACATTCCTTCTAACCTCATCCGTTCATGACCAAGACATCATATTAACCCTTCCATTTGCATTGTCAACTGAGCATATTTTAATGCTATAGCCAGTGAGAATAAACAATAGAAGGCACAGCTAAGAGAAGATAAGGAAACTAGAAGTGGAAGAGTAGCAATCACCTCCTGCAGTGGAAGCACCTTCCACTGGGAAAGCCTCCTGAATGAGTGATGGTTATGCTAACTTAACAATAGGAAGACTTCATTACAATGTGTGGAGGGTTAATTACCCGAAGTCAGAACTACTAGTCTTTTAGCTGACTAATAGAGAGGAGTAATAAAATTTATTCCTTTAATGATATAGTAATTAGGTTTTATATTCATAGTGATTTGGGGTTCCCTTGCATTATAAATAATTTCCCCCAATGATGAGGTAACTTTAGGGCCTATTTAGTAATAGGTTGCTTGCAAAAATGTGGTTAATTTTTCTTACTTAAAACAAAAAACATATTTTTATGATCTATGTAAGAGAAAATCAATGCACAAAATCAGCTTCTACATTATTAATAGGTATATATATTATAAGCAATTATTGTGTTATTAAAATGTGAGTATATATTCATTTCTAGAATGGGATTTTTAAGGTATCAAAATTTAGCATTATTTTTAAAAAACTAGGCTCAAATTTCAAATTTAGGCTAAACCTAAGGCTGACTTTTCTCAAAATTGAGGAAAGAAAATAGTATGTAACTCATTAGGTAATATTAGTTTTTATATTTCAACAGATACTCCTGATAATCAAATGATATACACAAGTGGGACTGCTGTTCAACACCCCAAGCCAAGGGGCCCCACACTTTGGAGTGCCTCCCCTGAAATTTTCTATGAGCCTTTTTGGAACCTGGGATGACCCAGTAACAGGAGCACCATCTGGATGGGGTGCCCTGAAATCATTGTGGGCCCTGGTCTTCCCTTCTTTGACCTTCGATCCCACCCAGAGCATTATCCAGATGCTCTGCAGAACTCCAGGACTCATGCTTATGAGGTCATCCGGTTGCTTCATGGCTAGGCCAATTCCAAGAAAGTAGCACTGCAAGCAGGTTGCTAAGGCAGGTTAGCCGGGAACTTTCTTTTTAAGATTGTGTGAGATTTGGCTGCCAGAATAATATTAAATATATTCTAATTCGTGGGGGGGAGGGGGAGTTCAAATGAACTATATCAACTTTTTTTTTGAAAAAAAAAGTATTTGTCTTGGTCTTCATACTTCAGTTTACAGGATAATGGAAAAGGTTATCTTTGGTTGACTATAGTTGTGTAAAAGATATCAAAGACTAAAAATAAAATCATACTCTCTTATAAGTAACACCCTAACATAGAGGGAATAGTTATAATATTTTCTAGAATACATTTTCATCTCCATTGTCTTTAAGTATATGGTAGAGATTTTTAAAGAAAGTTAATGCATCTTTTCAATGTTATTTGCAACTAATTGGTAAGACTAAATAAAAGAAAAATCTGAGATAGTGTAAGCAAAAGATACAAAAGGAACATTAAAATATAAAGTGGGTTTTCTCTTGTGCAGTGTGCTCATGAGTGATTTTATTTTCCTCTTGCATAAGTGTTTAATATGTTGAAAGATTTCATTTTTTTCTCAGCTGTATCCATACCTCCATATTTCTGGAATATCTTAGTGACCACATGAATTTATATTCCTATTGACCAAATCATGCTTCTTTGTAGGTAGAACTAGGTTAGTGCAAAGAGGGGAAAGTGGGAAAGAATTAAGAGGTCTTTTTTAAAAAAGATGAAATAAAGTCTTTATGAATTATGTTAAAAATGTTCCAGGCACTCAAATCCCAAATGCCAGGGGAAGATATTTACAGCACTGAAATCCTTTTAGGTTCTTTGCCCTGGATGAATAGCTTTCCGTGGGAGAAGTCACATTCCAAGATTTGCTTTTCATTTATCTTGAGAAAAGAAGTAACCCTGTGGTACCATCACCTGTCAATTACTTTGAAAAAAACTAAAACCAATTTGCTTTAATCTGTCTCTTTCTGTCTCTGTCCTTCTATCTCCAATTCTCTTTTTATAGCAAATCTTCCATTGAAATGCTATAAACTTCTTATTTGAATAGTCATAGTTAAAAGATACCCCTGAAATACTTTTCATCTAACCTGTCAATTCTAATCATAAAATCAAAGCATCCTGAAGAATCCATTTCAATTTCAAAAATGTTTACTATAAGCCTACTGTGTATAAGGCACTATGCCAGGCCTTTTGGGGAAAAGCAGAAATGAATAAGACAATATTTTTACTCTAAAGAATTTACAAACACATTGGAAAAGATAAAATACTCTAAAATGTTTCAACTCACATTTCAGAAATAAACTAAATGTCTAATCAAAATATTTAAAACTGGAAAGAACCTTAATACAGTACAGTAGAACAAAAAAACTACACGACAGAAACCTGAGTTCAATTTTCTTGGGTATTCCCTCCCTGCGAGGGGAATGTCTAAGGTATACGTACAGGGATGTTCGGCCAGTATAGAATCGTACTCATCGCAGGTGCGAATTCCATCAAAAGCATTTGTGACACATTCCCACCAGAGGCCCCGGCATTTTGTGCTCACCTAGACATGGGAGAAGACAGGGTGTGAAACAATTCATGCAGACACACTTTAGTTCCCCTTGATCAAAGGAAGAGCTCGGCTGTTGTGAGTTTGATAGCAAAGTACAGTGGTTACGAGCATGATCAGAATTTCCCTTACAATAAACACAATGCATTCTAAAGTATTTTTTCTTTAAACACTAAGAATTAAAGGCTTTCCCCACCAGGAAGTGAATTCACTTCCTGTATAGGGGTGGGAGGGATAAGTCATGCCTCAGCTGGATAAAAATCAAAATTAAGCATATGCAGATGCCTATGGTGGCTCCATCATCCATAGTTTATCATGGAGATAATTCATTTCACTCTCCTGTGCTGACATTTACTCACCCCTTCACCCAAAATCAATATAACATTAGATGATAACTGTTGACATCTTGAGTCTATTAATAATGACCATTAATTTGTCTTCATCATGAACACTGGGTTCCATGAAGACAAGTGTTATTATAAATGAGGTTCATAAATTTAAAGTAATTGGCCCAGAAAGCTATATATTAAAACACAAATAAGTGAACTATAAAGACCTCACCATTTCTTCCTCCCTGCTCCACTGACAGACTACAATTGCTTACACTATGATATGGATGTAAACAAACTAGCATTAATTTTATACAATCTGACAGCCGTAAACCACTCTTAGTTAGAAATGCTGTGCAGATAATTCTTGGTCTACTTAGAACTTAAAGCTAGTGCTCTGAGCCTGCCCATACTTTATCTCTAAATTGTAAGTCACAATAGATTTCTTAGAATTGTAAACATGCCAAAGGAAAATAGTTCCCAGTATTCTTGACAGAGTTCATGCATATGAAACAGAGCTAATAAGATTGTTTCTGTTGACTCAATTACTGACTCAATTACCTTGGCAATCTGAAATAGGTAAGATTTAGCAAGGATTATCTTGGAAAATGAAAACTTAATTTTTTCCTTAAAGAAAGAATAAGTAACAGAGCAGAGTGAGGAGAGAAATACAAGGGCACAGGGATTACAATTGGTGTGAAGAAGAAAGGAAGGAACACAAAACACTTTGACTTACAAAAGAAAATTCTAACGGGTAATATTTGCGCTTGGACACCCTCTGGCCTGTGTCCTGCTTTAAAGCCGTACTGTGTGCCAAATAAAACTACCGAACTCTGCTGCTGGCTACTCCACCACAATTTCAAATGTCGTATGTCTTTGATCACTTTCTATGTGAAATACTTCTAACTGATAATAATTAATACTTCTTTTTTTATTTAAATTATTTAGTGTTTAAAGTATTACATATGTCTCCTTTTAGTCCCATTGACCTCCCCCTGCCGCTCCCACCCCCCAGCACATGTCCCAGCCCTCTATTGTCTGTACTCATTTGTTATGCTTATATGAATGATACAAATCCTTTGGTTGATCTCCTACTCCCCTCCCACCTTCCCCTGCCTTCCCTCTGAGGTTTGATGGTCTGTTTGTTCGATGCTTCTATGTGTCTAGATCTATTTTTGCTCATCAGTTTATGTTGTTCATTATATTCCACAAATGAATGAGATTATGTGATAGTTATCTTTCTCTGACTGGCTTATTTCACTTAGCATAATATTCTCCAGGTCCATCCATGCTGTTGCAAAAGGTAAGAGTTCTTTCTTTTTTACAGCAGCATAGTATTCCATTGTGTAGATGTACCATAGGTTTTTAATCTACTCATCTGCTGATTGGCACCTAGGCTGTTTCCAAATCTTAGCTATTGTAAATCGTGCTGCTATGAACATAGGGGTGCATGTATTCTTTCTGATTGGTGTTTCTGATTTCTTGGTATATATTCCTAGAAGTGAGATTACTGGGTCAAATAATTAATACTTCTATGTTGATTTTGTACTACATGACAGTTGCTGTTTAAGCATATTATTATTTCATTTATTCTTTAAAGGACCCTATGAGACATTGTAATTGTCTATTTTATAAATAAGGAAAAGAAGGCACAGGAAAGGTTATTGATTAACCTCAAGAAAGTATCTTATGTAATAAAGAGGGAATATGCTAATTGACTGTCACACCCTCACAAGATGGCAGCACCCACAGCCACAAGATGGTGGGACCCAGTCCCCTCAGCCCTGCCTCATCCAGCCTCAGTCCCCCAGCCCCTCAGCCCCGCCTCATCCAGCCTCAGTCCCCCAGTCCCCTCAGCCCCGCCTCATCCAGCCAGAGTCCCCTAGTCCCCTCAGCCCCACAGGGGGAGGCAGTTGGGGGCGAACAGGCCAGCAGGGGAAAGCAGTTGGGGACGATCATGCTGGCAGGGGAGCAGTTAGGCATCAATCAGGCCAGCAGGGGAGCAGTTAGGGGGCTATCAGGCTAGCAGGCAGAGTGGTTAGGGGCAATCAGGCAGGCAGGCAGGCGAGTGGTTAGGAGCCAGCAGTACTGGATTGTGAGAGGGATGTCCAACTGCCGGTTTAGGCCCGATCGGACATCCCCCAAGGGGTCCCAGATTGGAGAGGGTGCAGGCTGGGCTGAGGGCCCGCCTTTCCCATGCACAAATTCCATTCACTGGGCCTCTAGTTGTTAATAAATGGAGAAGATAGGATTCAAACACCAAAGCTGTGCATATGGCCTTAAGCATTGAGGTATGCTTAACACCCATTTTTTAAATTCCAGATCCATTCAGGCTAAACTACTCTATTAATGGAAATTAAAAAACAGATTTGGGTGAAGCAGTAAGCCCAAAATTTATTTTCATCCTAAAGGCCATTATTCTATAAAACTTCACTTTGGCTTGCTCTTCCTGAGGTAAAATCTGAAAGTGATATTCTGAAATTTATTGAGTATTATTTCAGGAAACTGAAGAATCACAAAGACCAAAAATTTAATGAAGAAAATCTATCTTGTGAAATTTAACACATCAATTTCTAATTTCTAAAAAACATGTGAACTTTTAAATTTAAGCTATAGTTGAAAACATAGAGACTTTAAGTATAAATTGACATTTATTAGTTGTGTTGTATCTTGAGCAAAATCTTACCTTTTTTCAGCCTCTATCTCTTTATCTGCATAGAAGAGATAATGCTAAAAAGATTATGAGAATTAAAAAGTGCACACACATACACATACACAATTTCTCAGTAAATGATAATATTAATAAATAACTTAAGCATCATAATAACCTGAGTAGTGACTTTGTTCAGCTTTCCTGACTAACCACAATGACAGTATAGAAAGGTAGATGTCAGGAGCTGAATGGTGGTCACCAAAAAGATATGTCTATATCCTAGTCCCCAGAACCTGTGAGTTTGGAAAAAACAAAAACAAAAACAAAAAAACATTTACACATGTAATTAGGTTTAGGATCTTGAAATAAAAAGATGGTCTTAGATTACCAGGCTAGGCCATAAATCTAGTGGTGTGTCCTCATAGGAGACAGAGGAGAGACACAGATAGAAGAGAAAGAGGAAATGTGAGCACGGAGGCAGGGATGGAAGTGATGTGGACACAGGTCGAGGAATGCCCCAGCCACTAGAGGCTGGGAGAGGTAAGGAATATATTCTCCCCTAGAATCTCCAGGGACAGTGAAGTCCTGCCAACACCTAGATTTCAAATTGCTGGCCTCTAGAACTGTGAGATAATGAATTTATCTGTGTGAATGTGGACCAAAAACAGGGGGCTCTGTAAATAAATCTAGCAATTCTAGTGACTGAAAGTAACCTCACAGGGTGATCTGATCATAAATGCACAATTGGGCAGCTTATGGTGAGTAGTCACACCCCAGGCATATAACTTTTTTTAATAATTGCCTTTCTGTTATTTTTTATTATTATCATTATTATTTTATTGACTTCAGAGAGGAAGGGAGAAAGAGAGAGATATAGAAATATCAATGATGAGAGAATCATTGATTGGCTTTCTTCTGCACACTTCCCACAAGGGATTGAACCCACAACCTGGGCATATGCCCTGACTAAGAATTGAACCGTGACCTCCTGGTTCATAGTTCAATGTTCAACCACTGAGCCACACAGGCTGGGCCATATAACTTCCTTAGTAGGTTTATCTTTGCCTTCAGCAAGCACTGTCCATTGTTTTAGTGCATCCAGGTAAACACACCTTTGGAAAGCTCTTTTTCAGAGCTCTGAGAAGTATAACCACCCTCAAGAGAACACACATAACTGTGTTAACAATCCTGTAATCTAACCCCTGACTTGCTTTCTCCCACCTCCATGTCATCTTTATGTTCCCTCCTTAATTCCAAATGTATAAAAGAAACCAAAAACTGTCATTCTCTGGAGCATTTCAGATATTGCTTCCCAGCAATTGTTGTCAGGTTGGCTCAAATAAATTCTTATAAAATACTCTGAACGTTTGGACATTCTTACATCAACATTAAGCTACCAGATTTGTGGTAATTTGTTATGACAACCCTAGGAAACAAACACAATAAATATTATTTTTACTCAGCCATTATACCATAACAAATAGATGCTATAATTATTACCCTATATAATAAAGAGCTAATATGCTAATTAGACCAGACAGCCAAATGTCCTTCCAGATGTCCTTCTGGACATCCTTCCAGATGAAGCCATGGCTGCAAGGGCTGAGGCAAGAATGACCTTCCTGAACGAACAGTGGCAGGGGGTGGGACCAGTGAGCCTGTGCCTCCAGGCCAGCCATGGCAGTCCCTGAGCCTCTCCTTCCTCACAGGCAGCAGGAGAGGCGGTGGCACAGGTCTGGTCCTGGCAACCCCACTTCCGCAGAGGCAGCGGGAGAGGGGGCGGCGTGGTCTTGGCTCCTCCACAGAGGTGGGATGGGGTGCGACCACGATGCCTCAACTTCCCATGGCCCCTCCCCCAGCCTGCCTGGCCCAAATCGGCCCCCCAACCAGTGGGTGGGAGGTGGTGCCAGTGCTAAGGAGCAGCAAGCCAGCTTCTGGTTGAGCGGCTCCCCCCCCCCACCCCCCCCACCCCCCGGCTGCTCAGCCAGAAGTCGGGCTCATGGTGGGTGAGC